TCCCTGTGGTGTAGGCTGGAGTTCTTTCCCCTTGGTGAGCAGAGGTGGGGGTTTCTGCAATTTCCATCATTCTCATGGCTGTTTCTTTTGGCTTAGCTGAATACTTTCTGGGTTTGTTGATTGGGGATCTGTCTGGGTTGTGCTGGGGGGCCTTTGAGCGGCATTCTACAGCTCGATGCCCTTCTCTTCCGCACTTGAAACACCCCATTTGCTTCTTGGCTGTATCCGATGATTTCACCGGTTGGTGTGTCAGCTCAGGCGGGGGGCGGCTCCATTGTTTTCCTCGGCGGTGCCTCTTCAATATGTCGATCTCTGCTTCCTCTGCCAAGACGTACCATTCCTCAAGTCGATGTGGGTCCCCTCGGGGCAGGCAAGCATCATATAGATCATAGTTTAGTCCGTCTTTGAAATGGCCAAGGAGGATGTCTTCTGGCCAATTCAGTTTGCTGGCAATGGCCGGAATTCTTGTGTATACTCGGCCACTGGGCGTTTGCCCTGCCTCATCGTTGTTATTCTTTCACGGGCTTTGCGATCAGCCAGGGGGTCTTCAAATCGTCTTCTCAAAGAGGACATGAAACGGTTGAAGTTACTGAGTTCTGGGGCATTGGAGTCATGCAAGTTCACTACCCAATCCGCAGCTGGTCCATCCAGGGCAGATTGCACGATCCGGATGCGGGCTTTGTCGCTGGGAATGTCCTGCCCATATTCCTCCATGTAGCTGAGTACTTGGGTTAGGAAAAACCCCAAGCGTGTTGGCTCCCCTTTGAATTTCACCTCCAACGGTGGACGTCTTGGAATGGATCGGTGCCTCCGTTGTGGGTGGTAGTGTCTTCCGTCCAGATTGCCATCTGTGGTCCGGTAGGGGGTGGGGGCTCCTGGATCAGTAGATGTCCCTGGGGTTGCAGGTTCCACGTCCCCCTCGGTGTCTCTCCCTTTGTGGCTCCAGGAACTGGGGCGGCCGTAGGGCTCAGTATTCTCCTCTCCTAGGGAGCTGAGAGTTCTCTTCATCAGGTCAATAGCTTTCTCTAGGATCCAGTCTGAGTACGGTACCCAGCTTCCTCCCTCTTCACTTGCGTGCAGGGATTTCTCCATCTCCTGCTTCCATTCTGGTTGCTTGGTCCCCCGTCTCAGGGTCACCTTTCTTGATTCCTTTCTCCACTCACTTTTCTTTCCAACGTTCATCGACCAGCGAGGCTTGTGGTCCTGTGTCTCCACCACTTCTTCTCCCGAGGAATCTGACCTCTCAGATCCCAACATCTGGCAAGGTTCCAACTGGGTCAGCGGCTCTCTTTCCAGGGAGTTTTCCCCCTCTCTTTCTCCATTGTCTGACATGGTAAATTTTTTGCAAAATCCCCCGGCAAGGGTCTCCCTTCCAGGTGGATTAATTTTGCAAGTCCTGTCTAATGTAAGGACCCACCCCACTTTGCATCTTAAGAAGACAGAACTCTTGGAATAATTCTTCCAACAGGAATCCTTTATTAAGAGAAAATGGTTGCAGGCATGCTAGACAGGACTTGGGGTTCAAGCTCTCCCATTCAAGGTTTTAAGGGGTTCCCCAGTAGTCCCACCCAATCAACCCCCCTTCCAGTGATAGTTTCAAGTATCACAATTCCACCCCCTTTCTTCTTTCTTCCGTCTGGATGGAGACTTCAGGTAACTACATGAAAGGCAAATACCCTGCTTTGTTATGATAAGGTCCTCTAGTGCTAACGCTTTGATGTTACAATAAACACACATTCAGCATTCAGCTCTTTGAAGTGTACTGAAGGAAGTGAGGGCCATAAAGCCCCTTTGTTCTCCCCCTTCTCTCCCTCTGATGGCAGAATCCAGAGAAGGCAGAATTGGGAGTTTCTATATTTGATAATTAAAGATGAAATATAATTGGATTCTGACAAGAACATTTATTTGATTCAATGAGAAGGATGAAATTGTTTATGTTGAGATGACAGATCATCATAATTTGGTTCCCTGGTTGTTAATTTTAATCTGAGATGCGGTTCCACATCCAATAGTCTGTTCCTTTTTTTCGACTTAATGTCTACAAATGCAGAAAAAGCAACTTCGCATAAATATGAAGTTGGAAAAGGCAAGATGTATTTCAAGACTTTTTCTGTTAAAACTGGATACACATGTTGCATTTGTAACCAGAATGATGTTAAAGTACACTCCTTATGTTTATTTCTCAAGAATCCGTCCGAAGCTAACTCCAACAATTGCTCTTCTTCTGCATGCGACAAGCCTTCTGGCATGGATGTTGTGTTAATGTTGAACGGATATCTTATCCATTCAATATTTTCGTTTAAATCAGGGAAATAGTTTTTCAAGCCAACTTGCAAACTCTCCAAATGCTGTATTATGCATTTCAAAGTATCAACCTCAATTTTAGTAGCCGAACTTGTTATAAACTCATGAAGAGAGGGAAACGAGTCTACTTCTCCATTACCAACTCTCTTTTGCCATAAATTTAGTTTTGCGATGGTAGCGTTCACTTTATCTTGAACGTGAAACAATGAAATTTCTTTGCCTTGTAACGATAAGTTGAGGCAATTTAAAAAAGAGAATATATCTGCTAAGTATGCTAGTTTACAAAGCCATTTCCAGTCATGTAAACAATTTCTCAACTCAAATCTATCATTAAGAAAGCATTGAAGTTCATGTCTAAGTTCGAACAATCGGTTTAGAATTTTTCCCTGAGATAGCCAACGAACATCGGTATGAAAAAGCAGCTGGGTCTGACTACTTCCCATTTCTTCACATATTTGCAAAAAAAGTCATGCATTCAAAGGGTGGCTTTTAATGTAGTTAATGATTTTCACGCTTTCATCCAGAACTTTCTGTAGATCAGCGGGCATCTTACGTGTTGCCAAAGCCTCTCTGTGTATGCAACAATGTGTGGATATGACATTTGGAGCAACATTTTGAATTCTTGCAACGAGTCCTTTATTAATTCCGACTATACTTTTTGCTCCGTCTGTGCTTATTCCAACACATCTATTCCAATCAATTTTGTTCTCTTGCATAAATGTATTCATAACATTAAAGATATCTTCTCCTGTTGTGTGACCTAATAAATGCTGGCAAAATAAAAAGTCGTCATGAATTTCTTGATTTTTTTCGTATCTAACAAACGCCATAAGATTTGCAAAATTCGCAATGTCGGTGGACTCATCGACTTGCAATGCATAATAACGACTTTGAGAAATATCAGATAATAACATCTGTTTTACATTATTAGACATATCAATGATTCGTCGATGAACTGTATTATTTGAGAGAGGAACGCGGTCAAAAGTTTCTTTCGCTCTATCTCCTATCATTACTTCTGCCATTATCTTGGCTGCAGGCTTGATTAAAATTTCGCCAATGGTTTCCGCTGCAGTACATTTGGCAATTAAAAGTGACACGCGATACGAAACTTCTAGTATTTTTTGATTGTCACCTCCCGTCAAACCCTGCATTATTTTTCCAGACTGATTTAAACCCTTAAGCTTATTTTCAAAAAAATCTATGGGTTTATCTTTGTACTGATTATGGTTTGTCTCAAAATGGCGCTTTAAATTGGATGGTTTCATGCTTTCATTTGTTAGATTTTCAAAACAAATGACACAAAGTGGAATAGGCTCATTTTCATCTCCAGTCCATGAGAATCCAAATTTAAGATATTCTTTGTCGTACTTGCGAGTTTTCCTTGCTTTTTTCTTAACAGGTTCTTTCAGAATTGAAGTCGATTCGTCGTTAATTTCATTATTTCCTGTTCGTTGATTGCTATTACAATCATTACTTTCTTTCGGTTTAGTAGTTCCAGATTTCAACCAGCGATCCATAATCTCTGTTAGGGATAAAAATTGTATTTTATAAAAATAATCAAAATCAATGGAACTTACTAAAGCACGATAACAGGCACCCGGAACTAACTATTAAAGAAGTAAGTTGTCTCTATAACGAAGTGCAGTATATTCACGCCGGATCACGCCTCACAAGACTGTCTAACCGTTGATAACACTGCAATTCTCCGGCTTTTAAACAGCTCCGAGGCTCAGCGTTAACTGTTAATGTTCCCGCAGTTTAAAAATGGCCGAATCAGAGCTGCACGAAGGATGCGCAGAAGTTCCCGTCATAATGAGTTACGATACGATGTATGATGGCCCCAGTTCCCATGTAAAAACTGCGATACGTGCCTATTTCTTTCTTTGTTCTGTGGGCGCAGCTAAGCACGGTGCAATGGATATTCCCACGTGATCCCCACTAAACTCCGGTGCAACGTGTACCCACACCAAACTCTTCCCGTACTCCTGGGGGTACGCGTACCACACTTTGGGAAACACTGATCTACATCATATCGATTCTTGACCAAGATTTTTGACTGTTTGAATAAAAGGTGTGTTGTAGTTTTTGTGGGTTGGTTTGCCTCCAGACATCTTGGATTCCAATTTCCTCTGCCATATCAAAATATATCCTGGGTAATCTTCTTCTTCTGGTTTTTCCTGTTTTATTGCTCAAAGCAATTTTTAGTCAAGTTAGTCAATTTTTCCGTCTACTATTGCATTAAAGTCTCCTACTAAGCAAATATTTTGGTATTCCATTTCTATTATTTTTCTATGTAAGTTTTTATAAAATTCTCCTTGATTGTTCTTTGGTGCATAAATTGCCACTAGCAGTGTTTGCTTTTGGTACAAATATATTTCCAACATTAAGATTCTTCCTTCTTTATCTGAATATACCAATTTAGAATCTATTGTCTCTTTAATGTAAACAGCAACCCCCCTTTTTTCTGATGTGCTAATGTATAATAAAGTTTCCCAATTTTGGGATATTCCAATAATTTATGGTGTTGTTCTTTAATATGTGTTTCTTGCAGACAAATTATATTTGTATTCAATTTCTGTAATTTCCTGAACACTTTATTTCTTTTTGATGGGGAGTTTAGTCCATTTATGCTCACTGAAAAAATTCCATTTTCTTTCTCCGTTTCCGTTTCCATTTCCATTATTTATATTTAGGTCTAGTCGATCTAGTAATCCTCTTATCTCTGACCGGCCCTTGGATTTGGGTTTGGAATCATGTTGGGACTCCATGCTGCTGGTGGAATCTCAGGTGAGTCTAGAAGGTGAGGGAGGAGTCTGATTAGTAAACTGGGCAACTGATGATGTTATCTAGATTGGAAATGAAATGTCTGCAAGCTGAGAGCACCAAGGACATTCCCCTCCTTCTCCTCCCCCTTCCTCCTCCCCTCCTCCCCCTCCCCTCCTCCCAAACCCCTCTCCCTTCTAGCAGCGATAATAGAATAAAATGAGCTGGAAGGGACCTTGGAGATTTTCTAGTCCAACCCCCTGCTTAGGCTAGAAACCCTGTACCATTTCAGACAAATGGTTGTCCAATTTCTTCTTTAAAACCTCCAGTGTTGGAGCATTCACAACTTCTGGGGGAAAATTGTTCCACTGATTAATTGTTCTCACTGTCAGGAAGTTTCTCCTTAGTTCCAGGTTGCTTCTCTCCTTGACGAGTTTCCATCCGTTGCTTCTTGTCCGGCCTTCAGGTGCTTTGGAGAACAGGCTGATCCCCTCTTCTCCACGGCAGCCCCTCAAATATTGAAAGACTCTGGTCATCCTAGTCCTTTTTTTTGTTGTTGTTAGAGTAGATCTAACTCGTTCCCCAGTTGTTCATCACATGTTTTGGGTCTAGCTAAAGCAAACTGAAGTGAAACACTTCATTTTACACAGTTAAACTTACCATAATATGCCCCATTTAAAGCACATAAACATCTGCACTTAGAATAATAGAGTCAGAAAGGATCTTGGAGGTCTTCTAGTCAACCCTCTTCTTGACAGGAGTCCTGTTCGATATCATTTCAGATAAATGATTTTATTTCATTTATTTTATTCTCTCTTCTCTTCTCTTCTCTTCTCTTCTCTTCTCTTCTCTTCTCTTCTCTTCTCTTCTCTTCTCTTCTCTTCCCCAACAATCCATTCCATATTCTCTTCTCTTCCATTCCACCCCACCCCACCCCACCCCACCCCACCCCATCCTCTTTCTGGTGATGGTCTTCTTCTCCTCCCTCTATCCTTCCCAGCACTGTAGACTTCCCAGAGAGTGAGGTCAGCCCAGCCATTCCCTTGAAAGTCCCTGACTTCCTTCCTCCCGTCTCTTACCTGACAGGGATGCTGCAGAAGGTAACCCAGACCTCGAATGCTACGACTGGATCATCCCTTCAGGGAGAACCTCCAGAAGGCCTTGTCTCGTGAAGACGTTTCCACTCTCGGGCCTGATACACGAGCTGAGGAACAAGAGGAGAGATATTGAGCATCAGCAGAGGAACTTTCCTGGGCGCTTCTACGGAGAGAAATGTCGATGGAAGTTCTCCGTCATGCAGGTCACGCTTGTCCCAAAGTCCAGGCAAGTGGACTTTCTTGTCTCCCTTTGAAGACGTTTCTCTTCTCCTCCAGGAAGCTTCTTCAGCTCTGACCGGATGGTGGGGAACGGAAGGATGGGTCCCCCTTGCAGGCCGCTGGTCACGGGCCTTCTTCCAGGGAGTCCTTGAGGCCACCCGGAGGTTTGCCTGGGTCCTCAGGGTCACTCGAGTGGGGCAAAGGGGCACGGAGGCACCCAGGGCAGAAGACATCCTGTAGCCAAGAACGCAGGCCCCCTTTTCAGACTTACGACCGTGAAAGCATCCCCTCGGCCGTGTGATCAGAGTCTGGGCTCTTGGGAGCTCATATTTATGACGGTGGCAGTGTCCCAGGGTCCCCTGATCATCTTTGGCAACCTTCTGAGGAGCAAGGTCGGGGGGGAGCCAAATTCACTGAACGGCTATGGCAAGGAAGGTCGTAAAATGGGGCAAAAGTCACTTAACACCCATCTCACTTAGCGACAGAAATTTGGGGCTCAGTTCTGGTTGTAAGTCGAGGACCCCCTGTAGAAGGAAACCACTAAAAGATCTGGTTCATCCTAAATATACGACCAGGGCATTGGCTTAAGGACTGCTGCATTCGGTTAGAGGTTCCATTAGGGTCATATGTCGAGGATACTGCATGGCAAATGTTAGTGTAAATGATAGTTAGAAGTATACAAAACTGCCCACAACACAAAGTGGAAATAGAACTTGGGGTCATCAAGCCTTCCTTCCTTCCTTCCTTCCTTCCTTCCTTCCTTCCTTCCTTCCTTCCTTCCTTCCTTCCTTCCTTCCTTCCTTCCTCCTTCCCTTCCCTTCCCTGCCCTCCCTCCCTCTCCCCCTCTCCCTCTTTCTTTCTTTCTCTCTCCCTCCCTCCCTTTCACTCTGTCTCTCCCCCTTCCCTCCCTCTTCCTCTCCCCCTCTCCCTCTCCTTCCCCCTCCCTCCCTCTCTCTCTCTCCCTCTTTTACTTGGAGTAAAAGTAGGCTCTGAGTGTGCTTGGGGCACACTGGCCCCATTATCAGGCAACTGACCAGCATTGAGGTTTACGGTTAGCCAGGATTGCAGCATACGGTATGATGGTGATGTGGGCTTCCATCTACTCTGATCAAAAAGCTTTGCGGTAAAAGCATGGTTGGACCAAGCCACGATGGCCGCCAGGGTCAGTGTTTATGGGCGAGTCTGTACAGCTTCATTCATGCTGTGGCTGAGCTTAGTTACCGTAATTTACAACCGTTCCTTTTACTGACCGTTCCAAGTTACAGTCCAGCCCTGCTGAAAAAGGGGACGCCTGGCCCTTTTTCACCCTGACGGCCATTGTAGCCTCCCTCTGGTCACCTGACCGGAATTCAGAGACTTGGCAACTGACTCGGATTTATGACCGTCTCAGAGTCAGGCGACCCCCTTTCGCGCCTTTCTGACCAGCAAATTCAACGGGGGGAAACCAGAGGAGAAAACAGAGCATTGGTGGCCTAGACACGGGAGGAAAGAAGAATCACTTGGGGCTCAACCTATGGGCCATGGCCCATCCCCGGTCTGTGGCCTATTCACAACCGGGCTGTGTGAGTGGCTGGCTGATGCGCGCGTGTACAGCTTCACTCATGCGAGTGTCATGGGCTCTCAGGCCCCACTCACAGAAATGTCGTGGGGACTCGGGGCCCCACTTGCATGACCATTGTGGGCACGTGGGGGCTCACTCACTGAAGATTTGCAGGTGCTCAGAGCCTGACTCGCGTGGACATCACGGGTGCTCTCAGCCCCACTCCCGTGAGCAAAGGCTGCTCTTGCACGCTCACTCATGTGCACACGTGCCTGCCCCTTGCACAAAACCACCCCTTCTTTTCCCCCTCCCCCTTCGGGCTGTCAACCCGGAAATGTTGGGGAACCCTGACTTAGATTACAAAGTCCCAAAGTGGAATTCCTTTGATGTAGGCAAAACAGGAAAAAAAAATTCTCATGTCCCTGAAAACTGAGCCAGGAATGTCCAAGTCTGACACATGGTGCAAAATTCTACTAGATTCTACTTTGAGAGGACAGTGGGGTGTAGATGCAGAACAAAAAGGAGACGACAAGTAGCATAAGTGAGACAGAAGGGGGGGACAAAGAGATTGCTCATCTGAAGTCCCTCTTTTTGTCTTCATTCCTAAGTGGGCTCTTGACTCCCCACCTTTTATGTTATTTATTTATTTATTTGTGGGGTCCTTGGTGCTGTCTGAGCGTATTCTTTTGTTGCAGATGTTTCATGACCCAGCTAGGTAACATCATCAGTGCTAGAAGAGTTAAGCTTAGAACCTCCCTCTTCTAGCATTGATGATGTAATCCAGTTGGGTCATGAAACATCTGCAAGAAAACCACCAAGCTCAGTAAGCACCAAGCACCACACAGTCCTCCTCCTCCTCCTGATCATGTTACTTGGTTGGGTAATGAAATGTCTGCAAGAAAGCTCATAGACACCAAGGACCTCTTAGTCCCCTTCACGCTTCCTCTTCCTCTTCTTCTCCACTCCATAAGCCCCACTCCCTTCTAGCCCTGATGATGTTACCTAGTTAGGGTAATGAAACGTCTCCTAGAAAACCACCAAGCTCAGTAAGCACCAAGGACTACACAGTCCTCCTCCTCCTCCTCCTGATCACGTTACTTGGTTGGGTAATGAAATGTCTGCAAGAAAGCAACCAAGCTCATAGACACCAAGGACCTCTTAGTCCCCTTCACCCTTCCTCTTCCTCTTCTTCTCCACTCCATCAACCCCACTCCCTTCTAGCCCTGATGATGTTACCTAGTTAGGGTAATGAAACGTCTCCTAGAAAACCACCAAGCTCAGTAAGCACCAAGGACCACACAGTCCTCCTCCTCCTCCTCCTGATCACGTTACTTGGTTGGGTAATGAAACGTCTGCAAGAAAGCTCATAGATACCAAGGACTTCATAGTCCCCTTCATTCTTCTTCTTCCTCTTCTTCTCCAGTCCATAAACCCCACTCCCTTCTAGCCCTGATGATGTTACCTAGTTAGGGTAATGAAACATCTCCAAGAAAACCATCAAGCTCAAAGAGCACCAAGGACCCCACAGTTCAACCCTGAGCTACCAATATTTTCTTCTCTTTGTCTTAATTAATTTCTATACCAGCCATCTCAGCTAATTGACACAGGGCAGTTTAGAACAACGGAATAAAACAATATAAACACATGAATAAAAACACAGACTAAAAGTATTTGAAACAAGACACAACGTTCAGGTGTTTGGGTTTGCTGGTTTCTATCATGTATTTTCTTAAATCAAACTTTTCTTAGTTATTTCTGTAAGTCACCCAGAATCACCAAGAGTGAGTTGGGCAACCATATAGGTTTTCTCAATGAATGAATGAATGAATGGTTGAATAAATGAACGAATGAAGAAATGGATGGATGGATGATGGATGGGATGGATAAATGAACCAATCAATGGATGGATGGATTAATGAATAAATGAAACAATGGATGGATGAATGAGCCAATGAATGGATGGATGGATACCAAAGCTGCTCTGCTTCTGGCAAGGAAGCCCGCAGATGCTTCAACTTTTAGGGGGGTCTTTTGGGGGGTGCCTTACCCCAAATTTTGTTCCAATTTCCGCCCCCCACTTTGCCCACTGCCTCCCTCCCACCAGGGCAAGCCTGCTCTTTTGACTCTCACCCACTCTGAGGGGGAGGCCACCAGAGGTGACCCTTCTGCTCAGCCCTTCCCCCTTCCACCAGCCCTGCCCCACGTCTAGACAAAAGGAAAACACTGGCTGACGGTTTACCGCAATTGGCATGATCGATTGGCTGTTTCACCTGCCGTTGGTTTCCGAAACGGGTTCTTTGTCCTGGAGCCTTTTCAGGAGGGGTCTCATCATCTTCCTGTTAACATAGGGGTCTGCAACCAGCGCCCTCCATATCTCTCTTGCACTTCTGCAGAGGTGGAAAAAGGGAACCAGACACAGAGCAAAAAAGAAAAGCAGTCTCTCTTAGTAATCTCCCAGAGAGAGAAAAGTGTCTGGGCATTGAGCCAAACTCCACAGCTGAATCAACAAAGATAGTGTGAAAAAAAAGGAACAAAGGAAAAAATTGCAAAATAACCACCAGGGGACGCTGTTTCTTTCCTCACCTACATAGGGAGAAAGTAAAAAAAGAGAGAGTTTCACATAAATATACAAAACGAACATTCTAATAAATACTAAAAAAAAGCAGTTAAGGTGGCTTTTCCCAATTATAATAATAGTAGGTCTTCTTTCCCTCTATAATAAAACAGGCGGATTCCTTCAATTCAGCTTGAGTTCAAAAAGTTTTCAAAAGTCTTAAAACGCTGAAACCGCTGCTTTTCGGGGGGTGAGGAAGAAGCAAAACTCCCCCCCTCCTCCTCCCTTTAGGCTTCCAGCTTTGCTTTAAAGGCAGGCAATTTTCTCAATGGTCCACTTTGCAACAAAAACTAATATCGTCTCACCTGGACCGGTTGCTTGCTTCCTGAAACTGCTGACTCCTGTCTCCGATGATCTGCTGGAAATGGTGGCAAACGCGAAGCTCTCCGCTTTTCTCTCACCGGTTCCGGAGGCTATTTTGGTTTCTTCAAAGAATTCACCTCCAGGGTGGCATTCAGCCCTGATGGGCCCGCCAGCGACATAATTGGACCCTGGGAACGGAGTGTTCGTATCCCAGGGTCTACAGCCATCGACAGCTCTTTCCCCGGAGCCTTTTCTGCAGGGCTCTTCGTAATTTTTGCTTTAAAAACGGGGTCTTCAATGAGCGCCCTCCATATCTCTCCTGCACTTCTGCAGAGGTGGAAAAAAATAGATTTGGACCAATCAGATTCTTTCCCCCTTTCAGAAGAGACTGTCAGTCTAGAGGTGAAAAAGCTCCAATGGATTAGAGAACTGATGGAGCTTGTGGTGATGGCCAAACTAACGGCTTTCATCCAAGAAAAGAAATATACAGGTCGTTATCCCAAAGATGCTTTTCCACGAGGCAACGGGACTTTTTTGCTTCTTTGCTTTTTCCTTTGAAGACGTTTCGCTTCTCACCCAAGAAGCTTCTTCAGCTCTGACTGGATGGTGGGCAATGAAAGGACTTCTCTTCCTTGCAGGCAGCTGGTCGTTTGCATTCTTTCTGCGAGTCGTTCAAGCTACCTGGAAGCTTATCTGTGTCTTCAGGGTCACCATCTTCAGTCTTACAAAACAAAAGGGACTAGGGGTGACGTGATTCCAATATCTCAGGGGCTGCCACAAAGAAGAGCAAGTCAAGCTATCCTCTTCTTTGTGGCAGCCCCTCAGATATCAGAACACTGCTATCATTTCACCCAAGGTCCTTTTCTTTCATTAGGATGAGCCGAGGTGGCGCAGCAGTTAGAGTGCAGTACTGCAGGCCACTTTAGCTGGTCAGCGGTTCAAATCTCACCGGCTCAAGGTTGACTCAGCCTTCCATCCTTCCGGGGTAGGTAAAATGAGGACCCAGATTGTTGGGGGCAATGTAAATATATATACATTGCTTACTGGTGTACACGCTTAGAGAGTGCTTGCACTTAAAGCGGTATATAAGTCTCATAAATAAATAAATAAATAAATTAGACATTCCCAGTTCCTGCAACCATTCTTCATATGTTTTAGCCTCCAGTCCCCTAATCATCTTAGCTCTTCTCTGCACTCTTTCTAGAAACACAACATTTTTTTTACATCATGGCGATCAAGAAAGTTTAAAAACCAAGAAAGTCCAGTTGTCTTTTGGAAATACACCTTTGGGACAATCATGACCTGGATGATGCAGACAACTGGCCT